AAAATACACGCCACGGGTTCAAATACTCGGGGGTCAACTCGATATTGTACACGGGCAAGGTAAGGTTTGGGGATCGAACTCTAGTGCCCGCATCTGTGACTGCAGAAAGGTGAAAACCATTTCACTCCCGTCGGCCTAAATTCGAGGTCCTCCGAGAATACTTCAGTCTAAGGCAGAACCTTTACCCTTCTTATTTCTTTCGTAGGCTCTGACTATGCCGGGAGCTGTGTCTAGAAGTTCTGTACGTGTAAACCGGCGGTCGTCTTCTGGCTCCTGAAAGGAAAATCTGACTTTGTACTGTTTTTGCGGACGACCTCTACCTCCTGTCCTGAAGATGTCCTCACCTACTATACCATCAATGTCGTATCTTCCATCCATATCTGCGTGATGGAAATTGTTGACTTGTGACGCAAGGCAACAACTTTGACGCATGGAACACTGGGCAGGTGTGGAGGTGTGCTGGAATCTCAACAGTGTAGGACGCGGTCCATCCTCTCCGTCCTTGACTTCTAGGACTGGCCACGGTCCTCTACGCCGGCAACAACTTTTGTGAGATGTTCTCCTAAGGAGCAAACTCTTTTGCCTTGACTAGACTAAGTCGCCTACTTGAAACTGTGAGGGGCGATGATGCTTATTAGCTTGCTCTATCATTTTTTGTTGGGCTTTCCTGAGGTTGTCAACTACAGTAGCTATCTCTTATTCGTGCTGTATCGCAAACTCTCGTGTACCAGGCGGTAGCCTCGGAATCTGATCCCGGTTAAGTCCCTCAAATGGTCTACGCGGTCTAAAGGACTTGTGTAGTTCGTTGGGAGTGCGACAAGTGGAGAAGTGCACGCTGTTATTGCATGCGCTGACTACCTTTGGGAGCATCTCATCCCAATTAATCTGATCGAGCCTAATATACATCCTAAGATTTTACTAGCTTGTTCATCTGTCCAGTCTGGCCGTTAGTCTTAGGATGGTGGTTATATGACATTAATAACTTTGAACCATAAACTTTCATCAGTTCCTGCCAGTTCTGACTGGTGAACCCGGTATCCCTGTCACTAACTATCGCCAGTGGTATACCATGCTCGCTGACCCAATGGTAAAAAAACTCCTGAACTACTAACTCTACGCGTGCCTCAGAGGGCAAAGGAATGAAAATGACGTACTTGCTAAACGTGTCTACTACGACCATGACTTTACTCTTGCCATGTCTACTTTTGACGCCAGTCTCCATGAAATCTATAGACAATGAATCCCCGGGTCCTTTGGGAATCGACAATGGTCTAAGAAGACCTAGAGGGGCTCGCGTAGAAGTCTTGTTCCTTTGACATACTTTACAACTGCGTACGTATTCTATGCAATCGGCCTTCATACGAGGCCAGGTATATGCACACATGAGGTTGGCTAAGGTTTTCTGCCAACCGAAATGTCCCTCTGTATCATGGCATTCCCCTAAGATCAAGCTTCGGATCTCTTCACTGTTGGGAACGCATAGGCGGTCAACAACATTAGTCTTCTCAAATAACAAGCCGTCTGTGGTGCGGTAATCTGGTTCTGATTCTGGTGCCTCCTTAACTCTCTTGAGGAGGTTGCTATAGATAGGGNTAGTCTTCTCAAATAACAAGCCGTCTGTGGTGCGGTAATCTGGTTCTGATTCTGGTGCCTCCTTAACTCTCTTGAGGAGGTTGCTATAGATAGGGCCTGCACATACGCTTCTTTGACTCTTTGTTGCAAGTCTCTCCCTATATCCAGATAGCGCACTATCGCTCCAAAGTAGTCTGATCTCCTACTTGGAGCGTCCGCAACTACATTATATTTCCCTTCGACTGGCTTGAGCTCGAAGTCATACTGATCTATTTCTGCAGCCCACCTAGTTAGCTTTGGTGTCATTTTGGCCTGTGTTTTCAGCCACCTTAGCGTCTCGTGGTCTGAATACACTTTGAAGTGCCTCCCAAGCAAGTAGTGCTTCCAGTGTGCTAACGATTGCCTGAGAGCGTAGAGTTCCCTCTCGTAGGTTGATGTCGTTACCTTTTCTGAAGGCATTCAAGCAGATACGAGCTCTACGGGTCTGTATCCATTACCATCGTCTTGCTGCAGAACAGCAGCTATGCCATACTCACTTGCATCAATGGTGACGATGAATGGCAATGATGGATCAACTACCTTAAGGATAAGGTACTCTATCAAGGCCCGCTTTAACTTCTTCAGGGCCGCTGTGCAGCCCTTATCCCACTTCCAAATTGCCTCTTTCCTTAGCAACCTGCAAAGGGGAGCAGCGATGGTGGAGAAATTCCACACAAACTTTCTATAATAATTTGCCAACCCTCAGAACGATCGCAACTCTGTTAGCGTGCGGGGAGTCGACCGATCTCTAGTCGCTGCTATCTTACTGTCCTCAGGCTTTATGCCATCTCCATCTAGAACGTGGCCAAGGTATAAAACCTGTGTCTTGGCCCACTCACACTTCTTCGCATTGATCTTGAAGTTAGCTTCTCTCAACTTCTCCAAGACCTGCCTTAGATGGCCCTCATGCTCCTGGAGGGTCTTACTAAACACTAGGATGTCATCTAAATATACAACAACAAATCTATCTAACCACGGCCTAAACAGGTCATTCATACAACGCTGAAATGTAGCTGGCACGTTGGTTAGTCCACAGGGCATCACTATAAACTCATAGTGCCCATATCCGGTCCTAAACGCCATCTTGTGCTGATCATCAGGATCGACCTCTATCTGATGATAGCCTAACTTCAAATCTATCTTGGAGAAGTATCTGCAGCCCTGCACTCGGTCCAACAAATCATCTATTCGAGGCAGCGGTACTGCATTCTTCACTGTGATGATGTTGAGACCCCTATAGTCTATGCACATTCTCAACTCTCCCTCCTTTTTTGGGACAAACAAAACAAGCGCTCCAAACGGAGATGAACTGAGTCTAATCCAACCCTTATCGAGGAGCTCGTCCAATTGCTTTCGCAGCTCCTGTAGGCGGCTCAAACAGATTTGCATACTCTTCCAGCAACTTGGCAATACGAGGGCCTATGGGCTCTTCAAACTTAGGCTCAGTAACTGGCAACGAAAACCTGTTCTTCTAGCTTCTCCTTCTTCAGTAATCTTGCGAATGCAGGAGCGCTAAGGCAGCAATGTGCTAAGGGGTTCTTTACCCCTGACACATGAAACAGGCGGGCAGTCTTGACTCCGCTTGAAGGACTAAGGAGCCTACACTCATGCTCTCTCAAATGAAGTGTGGCCCCTGCTGCCTCTTCCCAGTCCATTCCTAGGACTATATCAAACGGGAGGTCGTCTTCTACGGGGAGAGTCAAGGAATGGAGAACTCTTTCTACCTTCCCATCTTTTTCTAGGCAAAAATAAGCCTGGCCTCCCTCGACACAATCCTCGACTTGCATAGTGCGATTGTCTGCGAGGATGCTAACTATAGGTTCCTCTAACTTTCGGACCTTCAAATTCAGCTATAGCTTCTGTAGCGCTTTGCGACTAATATAGCTACGGGTAGCCCCACTGTCTATAAGGGCCCCTACTCTACCTCTAAAAATCTCTACATCTACCAATGCCAGTTCCTTCAGTTCTTTCGCCACACCTGTGAGGGAAGTGCCTAGAGAGCAACCTCTGCCATAGACACATGTGGGTTGGGAGATTCTCTGTGGTGCGCGCACTCTTCTCCACATGGTCTAGGGGTAAGGGCAGTTGCGACCCCTACCGACGGTTGCCTTTTGCTGCCTGTGCAGCAAATCCGGCCTCCCTATATTTGGGGCAGTATTTGATAATATGACCCGGATCACCGCAGTAGATACACTAATCCTGGTCTATCCTTTTCTACCAGACTTTCTGGTCGAGACCCAAATCCTCCCAAGGCCTGCCCTGTGGCAAGCCCGAATGCCATCCACCTCTTCTATAGGGTGACCGATTGGAACGTGGACGATTTTGCGGGGGACCTTGACCCCTACCTCCCTCTTGGCGGTTTCCCCTACCGCCAACCCCTTGATCGTCCTGTCCTCGACCACTCAAGGCCCGTCCCCCATGGCCCCGGCCTCCTCCTCTTCCTTGTGGCCTCCCTCCAGCCGCAACAGTAGCATATATATGGGACCTCCCCCATTCCCCCCTCATCCAAAGTCAAGATCAGGCTATCCTTCCCTTTAACCTGCCCTGAAATGGTATGGCCCTTCCACTTATTACCCTTCTCAAAATCTCTATGCCAAAAGGCCTTCATTGGCGTGGACTGGGCCTCATATGCCACAACGTCGCGACTCAACCTATCATAAGTCGTTCCTCGTTCTCGCGACTTGTCGTAAAAGTGCCCGTGCAAACTCTCGGGCATTGCACGCTAAAATAATTGAACCAACTGTGGCTCAGTAACCCCGTGATTGGGAATTGCGACAAGCTCATCCATAGCCCCCTTGAGTGCCCTTGCACTCTTCCACTGTCGTGTATGGATGGTCTGGAGCTTGTCAGACGTTAATTCCTTTAGTCACATCCGCGAAACGTTCGCGAATTAACTTTAGGAATTCACTGAGGGGAGTAATGGTGGAGTACGCCACCATGTCATTGTCACATTGTGCATCGCTGGCTAACGACCTGGCAAAGTTGGACGTTTCGTCCCTAAGGGCGCGGAATGCAACGCGGACTTGCTCCTCATGAATAATGTCCTGGAGGTGCACATAGGAGTTAATATTTGCCTCCCAATTATCGAAATCTTCGTTTCCCGCTGTAGGCGTCAGGCAACTTGACTTTGACTCGTTCGCTACGCCGGCGTGCCTCCTCCTCTAGAGCAGCGAGCTTGGCGCCCTCAATGGCGCCAACACAGAACTGCTTTGTGTTCTTCATACGGGCCTGCATCATACTACCCATCCGCATCATCATTTTGTGGGCAAAGTCTCTGAAGCCTACTCGGATGGACTGTAAAGCCATGTCATGGCCCCTGGTGGTATGCATTTGTTCCTCTTGGGGGCGAATCAATACAACTATACTCTTTGCGATTGCGTCCAACTTACTCTGAACGTCCTCTTTTGCCAGCGCCTGCGTATGCTGTTCTGCAGCGGTAGCTAATTCCTTCTCCAATTCAATAGCTGAAACTATGCACCTCCTTCGCTGCCTCCTCAATCGCAATTTACACTCCATTCTCTTCTCCTCCTCCAAGGCCTGCTGCTCTAACCGGTCTTCTAAGGCCTTTATCTCTTCAACAACAGCATCCCTCTCGTCCTGGGGAATGGTCATCAATGCTTCTTCATCCTCCCCCAGAGATAAGTTAGCCACCCATTCTGAAACCATCTTCTCCAGTTTCTTCTCATCCTCACTGGTCCCACTGGATTCCCCTTTTTCTTCTCTCCTCCCAATCCTCAACAGGGGTATCTCCTCTTCTTCCACTTCTTCTTCTACTTCTTTAAGCTGCTCCTCTTCCCTCTTCACCCTCTCCATCTCTTCCTCAAGCTTCTTCTTCTTTGCCGCCTGTGCTTCTAGATGACTGTTCCACTCCTCACCACTTAGACTCTCACCCCCTGACTGACTTAAGACCGACTTACTGCTGATCAGGAGGCATTTAAGGAGATGGCTGTCACTACAGGACTTACTGCTGATCAGGAGGCATTTAAGGAGATGCCTCGTAACTCCTCACGAATTATTTAATGTCGCAAACAGGACGACGTAATCAGCAAGTCCTCCCAAGACTTAGACAACTTGTTGTGCAGCCCACAACTCGGATTTTGGGCCTACTGTGCCACACCAAGCAGCCCGCCGGTCTGTACCGGTCCTTGGGAGGGTTCGTGTCCTCCGGGTCAGTCGAGTCGTCAGACACAACCTTTAACCCTACTCAACCCGTGTGGGTTTGGTCAACAGAGCTCTATGACCACATACACAGAGTTCCTAACAACTCGTCAGAAGAGACTCAATGCAGAAAGAAGAGAGACTGACCCAACAAGTACCATGGGGTGTGTGCACATCCATAGGGCGAGGGGATAGGCTGAAGGCTTGGCGAGAGTATACCAACTCCAGCTTCGTCAAACTTCGTGGTCAACAACTCCGATCAACGCCCTGGTCCCCACCTTGGTCAACACCAATCAACGCCTTGGTCAACGTTGGTCAACCTTTCAATCAACTCCTCGGTCAACGCCAGCATGTACCTAGGTCAACACTGAAAAGCATTTTGGTCAACTTCGGTAAACGCCTGGTCAATGCTGTTAAGTACCTCGATCACCTTGGCTATGGCTGCTAACCTTCGTTCCTACCTCCCTTCACCTTCCTTCTTCATCCTCCCTCGACTATGGCTTCTTTTTCGCCTCTCTCTATCTGATGCACCCCCTGGTATGGCTTCCCTTTCTCCCTTATTCGTCTCTCCTTCCTCCTCCACCTCAACTATGATTCTCTCCCTCTCTTCGTACCTTCTCTCTCCTCTTTACTCATATTCTCTGTGTCCGAGCTCGACAGCGATGGCCGCCACCTTCTTCCTTAGCCCGGACAACAATCTGGTATTGCTCCTCTCTCTCTCTCTCTCTCTCTCTCTCTCTCTCTCTCTCTCTCTCTCTCTCTCTCTCTCTCTCTCTTTGTCTGTGTGTGTGTGTGTTCGTCGTTGTCTTCTGTGCAGGTTCGCGGCACCCTCCTTCAATGGTGCGGCTATGGCAAACCCTTCTCCTTCGTTGGCGCAGCTTCAGCTATGGCGCCAAACTTCGCACAACGGCGATGGCATGTGGAGTAACGGGAACCAGCTCCGATACCAATACAATCAGACTCACTTTCTTCTTTGCTTAAAAAACATGCAAACAAACGACAATTCACACTGGCGCACAACGCCCACTTAGAACTCGGAGATTTGGCAATCGAGAACTCAGTTCAGATGCAAAATTGCTTCCACAGGCTATGGCGCATACGCGCCTGCACATCCAACCCTCGATACTGTTCCCAACACCACCATTCACACTCACTTAACTTTGGATCACCTTGAATACCCCACACACTATTGCCTGACTACCTCCTACAGCGGCTACGGTCGCTCTACCCACTTCAGCCCACTTCGACTTCGGGCAACATGCTGACCACCTAGCACAAGACACTGTAGCAGCTCTTGCGCATGGCTTACGCAGGGAATGAAAGAATGGTTGGGCGCTGCCTCTTGATTTATACTTCGGTAACTCGTTGGTCTGCCCCTTTCCCATGCCCTTGATGCACACTGTCCCACGCGGTACTTGCTTGACTGGACTATGACTGATTGGGACCGGTACCGCTGACTACATGGGTTTGCATTGCCAACTCGATGCAGTCGCACTGCCGATGTAACGCAGTTGGGCTCACCACTTGTCCACTTGCCTCTGTCTAAACGTGAGCCAACTTCGAAAGGCCACTTCCGGTCCTTTCGGAAGTCTGTGGTATTGGCCTTTCGAACACTGTAGCAGATACGACCTTGACCTTTCATGACTGTAGCAGCTACGACCTTGACCTCTCATAATACCTACAGCTGCGACCTCTAGAAGGCTGTGACCCCTACTCATCAAATCTATGGATCGAACCCCTACAACTACACAGACTCACGACAGACATCAAACGACTACCAAAATACAGGTCATAGGTTCAAACACTCGGGGTCAACTCGATACTGTACATGGGCAAGGTAAGGTTTGGGGATCAAACTCTAGTGCCCGCATCTTTGACTGCAGAAAGGTGAAAACGATTTCATAATAAAAAGAATATGAAATAATTAATAATAAAATGAGAACTTTGTATAGGATATCATACGCGGCGTTTCACTGGCATGAGTTTTGATTGACGCTCATCAAAAGCACCTTTTACTAAAATTAAAGTGGTAGTATGTAAGCCTAAGGATTCCCTGGTGGACTATACTTAATAGACAAGTTAATTGCTTAGGCAATTCAAAACCAATTATTTGATTTATTCTCATACAATCCATAATTTATACAGAAATACAGAATACTCAATTTATCACAACAAATATATATTCCTTAATAACTTAGTCTGTAGTCTGTGTGTCCGAAACTGGATTTGACACGGGTTCCGCGTTAAATAATTTAACGCGCGTTGAATTCACGTTCAACTCCCGTTCAAACGCGCGTTGGACGCGAATGAAAGGGGTCTACGAACCGGGTTTTCGCGCAGTTGGTTTTGGGGTCGGGGTTTCTGAAGGTGTGGGGCGGTGAGGACCCTTGTCGGGTACCGCCTCATGCATTCAATTTTATTTTTTTTCAATAAAAAAAATTAAAAAACCCGCGTGATGTCGGCCCGATGTCAAGCAGGGCTTCCGCGGAGTACCAGGGTTGGACGGCCTGCTGGGGGAACGTCTACATAAAACGACCAGGCCGTTCAGCTAGGCCGCACCTCATTTGCCGCGCGAGCTCGAACGCGTCAACGCGACAAACGCGTTCCCCCTGCGTCG